ATTTATGTGCCTCCGTTAAAATTTACAAGTCTTTATTAGTTTAATGGGTCTCTACAAACTAATTACGTCTCTCCATAAAGTTGTCAACATTACGACGGCTAATTCCTAATTATTTTTACCCTCCTCAAAGCCCTATTATGAAAATTTATAATTAAACAAAATTAGCATATTCGAGAGAATATTTTATATATATTATAATTTTTTTGGTAAAGATATTAATATGTGATTTATAATATTTTGAATTATAAACATATTTGTAACCTATATCAAAATAATCTCAAATCCTTTATATATCTATGTTATAATTAAAATGCCTAACTATAATAAAACATAAACCAGGCCATAAGAAAAACCTTTCACCTCCAACTACAAAATATTTCAGACATTAAAGTAAAAAATTTAAAGAAAAAGCTTATTAATTATTGGAAATCACCTTGGATCTCTTGTTATACATTCTCACTTCTTCACCTTAGCCTCATTTTATTATTTTATCTTTATTTTTAATTACAATACTTAGCTAAAAAATTACATGATAAAGGCTTAAAGGTGATGCTCTTATCCCTTTAAAAAAAGTAGATGATATGATTCCCCTTAAAGAAAGTGATTGTATAGGCATCTTGGCCAACATGGAGAAAAGGAATTTTTTAAGTATTACAAGAAATATAGGTGACTTAAAGGTGATGCTCTTATCCCTTTTAAAAAAGTAGATGATATGATTCCCATTAAAGAAAGTGATTGTATTGGCATCTTGGCCAACATGGAGCAAAGGAATTTTTTAAATATTACAAGAAATATAGGCAACTTATTTCACCTAGGTGTGAATGTAGGTTCTATGAGTCAAACTGGATAAAATTTTTTGGTGGTTAGTAGTGGCGGTCAAACTGTCGGTTTAACTGCTGGAAATATCATTGATATTTAGTGAATTTTCTATATACTGAGAGACCACATCCTTTCGTAATTAACATAATTAAATAAATCAACTCCTAAGTTAGCCCAATGGGCACGCTCAAACTCTAGTAGGCATAAGCAATTGACAACAGTTCAGTGGTAAATGCCACCAATAATAATAACATCAATCCTTTTATCCAACTACCTGGTGTTAACTATAGAATTTTTTATGCTTGATTATATAAATTTTTAATGATCAGATTGATGAAAAAGGGAAAATATGTGTATGCAAAGATGTTAAGAGAAAATTAGAAGTGATGAACAATAATCCATAGCATCTTTTTGTGGCATTTACGTTTATAACAACAAAATTACACTTATTTATTAAACTACAAATAGTGTGCTTCTATTTACAATATTATCCTCAAAATATTTAGGATCTCAGCAAAATTACCTTTTTCTATTCTCAATCATTTATTAAATTCATAATTATTTGATAGTATTATGAATAAATACTCGGAATTATGAATTTGTTTTAATAGATTAAAAGGAAGCTTTCAAAAATAAAAATGTCAATAATACAAAAAAAAAAAAAATATCACAATGCTTTTCACATAAAATCATACGTTGATTTAGGGGCTCTTTGGTTTGTTGAAAAAGGAATACATGAGCTTACTTTTTTTTTCGAATTGAAGTAAAATGAATGAATTGTAAAGTCTAAAAAAGGCGATGGTTGGAGGCCATAGTAGTAGCGGGTGGTGGCCAATGGTGATAGGGGCTGATAGAGGGCAACGACGATAGTGGCTTTATTTATTACATGTTTCCTTAACCTGATTACATCATAGAAATATGGGCACTTTCAATGAGAAGATTAAGGCTTCATTTGAGACAACTTCTTTAATACTTTCTAAAACAGCTTTTTAGTATAAGAATCTCTTGAATTAAAAAATTTATACAAGAAAGCTGCTTTAGAAATTAGTAAGAAAATTATCCCAAATGAAATCAAAATCTCTTCAAGTCCAAAATTATCAAAGATAATCAATTAGTTGGGATGAATCTGCTTCATTGATGATTGATTTGTGTGCAAAATTGAGATTTTATCAAGTTCTCCATTTGCTAGTTTTTTTCCTTTTGTGCTGCAAATTTCATTCACTGCAGAATATAATATTATTTCTTTGATTTCTTATTCATTTTTAAATTTTTGTTTCGTATAAATGAAATGTTTTTTTTGCATCAAAAGTAATAAATCTTTGCTTAAATTGAAATTTAGGACTTGTTAATTGTTAAGCATTTTTTGTGCTTCTCATAGTGAACCCAAGATCCTAAAACATCCAACATTGTAAAGTTCAACTAAGGTTTTATTTGAGACAGTTTTTTTTTTCTTTCTAAAATAATTTTTAGTACAAAAATTTTGAATTTAAAAATTTTGTACTATGAAGATGTTTTAAGAGCAGTAAGAAAGTTGTTCCAAACGAAGCTTAAGGTTCAACTTGGACTACTTTCTTATTGCTTCTTAAAGCAATTTTGTAGTACAAATATTACTAAAAAGCTGCTTTAAGAAACATTAACAAAGTTGTCCCAAATGAAGGTTCAGATTGAACGCAACTAGTTCCACAAAAATTTGTATTTTAAATAAGTCTAAACAAAGTTATAAGGGAGCAGGCTTGTAAGCCCTTCACAAAACCAAGAAAATACATACCTTGCTTATTTCAATAAACTAAGGTCTCATTTGAGACAGCTTTCTTAATGCTTTTAAAAGTAACTTTCTAGTACAAAAATTTTTATTTGGTTCAAGAAACTTTTATACTAAAAAACTATTTTATAAAACAATAAAAAAGTTACCCCAAACAAAACCCGAGTTAAAAGGCCAAGCCAACCATTCAAGGCCCCTACAAAGAACTCCATGAGCAACTCAACACCACGAACAGGGCAAGGTGAAAGCTGGAACCTCTCATTTTCCACAAGTAAAAGAATTCATATAATAAATAAGAAAAATCTCAAACAGAGCCACAGAAGCATTCCCTACAACAGAAAATAGTTCCCCATGCAGCATTTCCTCATGAAGCATTAGAAAGCATATTTAGATTTAAGTGAGAATTTAACTCTTAATAAGACACAATAATGAAAAAAGATTCATGTAGTTGACCCCACGTACGTAGTGGGATAAAGGCTTGATGTTACTATTGTTGTTGTTATACGAAATGATCAAGATTATCATTACTATATAGCAATAAATCCCACAAACCATACGATATTAAAATCATGTATGTATTAAAGAATCAATCTTATTTCAAACCAGGAAGATTAACTATAAAAGTGATTTTGGCTAAGGTAATTAAAATAAAATTAAAGGTAATTAAAAATAAAGAATTAAATGATCTTCATAAAATTTTTATTGATCTTGAGAAGACAAATGTGACACAAGAATTGGTTAACTGCACATCCAAAAAAAAAATTTGTCTAAGGTACAATGAAACTATTAAAGATAAGCATGATGAAGCATTAACTAGAATCAAAAGTAGTTATGGGGGAGCCAATAATTCCCAATCATCATAAGATAATAAGGATCTTTTTATTTATTCTTTATGGCGACGTGGAGAACC